CCTGTCTCTTATACACATCTAGATGTGTATAAGAGAAAGGATAGAGGTCCAGCAAAAAAAAAAAAAAAAAAAAAAAAAACAAGTCCAAAAAATCCACAAAAACACTATGTTATGCAGAAAAATAGACTGAACAACTTTTGCCCTAGGGTCACATCGAAATTCGTCACCAAATTCAAAATAAAAAATAAAATTTAAAAATAATGTTTTTATTTTTATTATTTTTAATGTTTTTGGCCCGGCCGGGCAAGTGACCCCGGGCCATTCTGGTAGCCTAGGTCTGCAGTGAATTCCCTGTCCCTTTTTCTTTTCTTCCAGCACTACTTTCGGTCCCTTCACAGCATTCATCAAGTCTTCTTCCGTGCTTCCTTTAAGCTTTTCGCCTATGCGCCTATGACCCACTTCTCCTTTCCATAAGGTTGCCTTCTTCTTTAAAGCTTTTACTCTAGGCGCCTATGACCCACTTCTCCTTCCCATAAGGTTGCCGTCCACAAAAATCTTCCTTTGTGCTCCTCCACTCTCCACAGCCGATAATGTTCTTCTGTCGCCACTGCTTGCAGCCACCTGCGAACTTCATATCCTGCACCTGCAAGCAGCGAACGCCATTCCCATGGGATTACATAAACCAGCTTTTTTTTTTTAAACAGAAAAGCCAGAAGAACATCACTAGGGAAGGTGCATAAACCATCTCAAAATATCTGCTCCTCAATTTTTTTTGCCTTCCTACTTTGATTGCCATTTCTTCTTCAGTCTTCCATGTGCCATTTTTAAACGGATTTTTTCCTTTTCTCAGGTTTTTTGTTTATAATATGTTCGGTTTTTATTTCTACATCCCCGCATGTTTTTTTTTTTTTGTTTTTTTTTTTTTCAAATGATGATAATCTTGGATCTGCCTCCATGTCTTTTCAATTCCCTGCAGGAAAATCGTCCTCCCCCCCCCCTCCCCCCCACACACACACACTTTTTCGTGTCTGTTTTCTGAATATCCGCATGTGTTTTTCACGATGATGACCTTCATGGCTTTGAGGAAGTTTGATCTCATTGTCGGAATGTCTCCTGCACTTGCCACAGGAAAATCATGAGTTTCTGCAATGGCTGCATGCTTTCCTCCAGAGGAACCCACATATGCCACCAAATTTATACAAGGTCAGCTTTTTTTTCCTCTTACACCAATCTTATGATGCCCGTTTTGACGACTGAGTTTTGCCTGTTGTTGGGCTTTTCAGTGATCTGTTTGTTCCCTGGTTGATAAGGAGTGCGTGCTCTTCCGTTATTATGCACGGGTGGAGGGAAGGGGGCGGGGGGGTGAGGAAGGGGGTTGGGTGAAGTGGCAATTCCAAAAAAAAAAGATTATCTCTGCCATGGAGTAGTAGCAGGGAGAGCTAGGAGAAACCCTAGGCTATCGCGGTTGTTAATTATGAAGAGTGGGGGAAGAGATGATGGTGGTGAGCTAAGGAGGGAGATGACATTTGTTCCAACTAGTGTTTATCTTCTTCTTCTTCTTCTTCTTCTTCTTCTTCCCTCTATCGTCTTCTTTCCTCCACCATCTTCTTTCCTAGACTTATTCTTCTTCTATTTGAGTTGCGATGAATGGGATTGTAACATCTTTGAGTTTCGCATTACGAAACGGGCAGGATCATAGCACGGTTTTTAATTCTCATCTCCATTCATGAAAATTCCGAAAACAGTCAGGGGTGTAGGGTAGGTTTCCCTGCATCAGGCAAAAGTATTAGAAAAAGACAAAGCCCAAGTAAAAGAATTGGGCAAAAAAAAAAAAAAAAAAAAAAAAAAGGTAAAAGAATTGGGCACAAAGTGCCACAAAGTTGCACAAACCTAATTTTCCGTATGGCTGTCCCTTTTGGGATGGGCAGGCCAGTGCAAGTCAATTTTTTTGTTTGAACAAAGTTGAGTCCTCTGAACTGGTTCTCATAATTTTTGTCTTTCAAAAGGGACACTAAGCCCGGTTCTCAGCACGTGATGCTCCCCACAAATAGATCGGACCCATTTTTTCAACCAAAAAAAAAAAAAAAAAAAGAGAGTCCCCTGAACTGGTGGTTCAAAAATCTGTGAAACCCCCATGTTCCATTCAAAGGGCCCCTAAGAATGGGAAAAAGAAGAAAGTGAAGTGGCTTTGTTTCCCAGGTTAGACAAGGCCACCGCAAGTGAGTAATAGCGACACACGAGATCACTTGTGCTCTAGTCAAGTACTATAGGAGTGGTAGTTTAGCGGACCGGGATAACTTAGGCAGCAGTGTGGGGTGGTGGTACATCCTTACGACGGCAAGTAATTAATGCTGTGACTGCCGTCCCTCGGGCTTCCCTACCGGAAAGGGGAAGAGCGTGTGTGAGTTCCTTATGTAACACCTTCTGACTTGACGGTGGAATAGGAATCAGACTGATGCTCCTCAGAATGGAAAAGGAGCCAGAGCCATAAGGTTCTGTTTTTAAGAAAAAACAAAAAAAGAAAAAGGTTAGGCGCACAAGTGGCATTCAGGAGGTTGTGGGTTCGAGGACCATGACTGCCTGCGGCGCACTTTCGTGCCAACCGACTGTGATAGTCCGCTTGATACCCCTGATCGGTATTAGTAGGGTCTATGACCAACACGGGTGTGAGTGTGAGCATGAGTGGGTTGTGTGTGGTGTGGGGGAGAGTGTTGGCCATAGCCATTGCTGCTACTCGATTGGGGGTGGGGGAAGTAGATGGGAGGCGCAGCTACTGGCCAAATGCTCGGTCTTTGCGTTAGCTGGTCCCCCCGACCGGCAGCCGCACTCTACTCCCTGACCACGGCCCATTAGGGCGGGGGACAACATGCATCCCCTTAATTGTGAGAGTTAGCTATGCTTGCAGGGGTCCCCTGTATAGGCTTAGGAGCAGTGGTAGGTAGATAGTGAGAAAAAGAAAGGAGAGGAATACAAGAATTAAAATAACCGGAAAAAAAATGAAGTGGCTTTCATTCCGAGTACGCTTGTAAAACGAGATGCCATTGGTTGTTGGTTGCTTGGTACTTCTGATGTGAAATAAGGGCAGGCCTTTGAGAGGAGGTGGGCAGCACAGGACAAGCAAAAGAAGACCGGAGGTCTTGCGGCCCGTGGCAGGCCTGTAGGGCTCAATCAGAATCTCATTCCAAATGAGGTAGGCACTAATACTGAGCCTGCTCTGCTGGATTTGGACTTTCTTTTATTTTTCTGTTTTTCCAATTGATAGTCTTCTATGCAAAACTTTGCTCTGTTAAAAAAAAAAAAAAAAAAAAAAAAAAAAAAAACCCTTACCCCTAGGCCATGTTGATGTATTGGGAATGACTGGGATGCAACCCCTTGGTGCCTTGCTTGGGCCCATTTAAATAACTGTCTTGGGGATGGTACTCCAGTATTGGAATTTGGAAATGACCGGAAAACGGGTGGAACCGGGAACCTGGAAGCTGCAGTACCACCATCAGATCATATCCGTTGGCTATTTGGCTATTTCAGCCTATTTGGCTATTTGGCTCTGGCAAGGTCGCTGGGATGCGAGTGCAGATGACAGAGCTGTGTTGTGTTGGCTATTTGGCTATTTGGTTATTTGAAGTTATTTGAAGTTTATTTCAGGTTTGGGGTTATTTGGCTATTGAAAATAGCCAAGATGTGAGCGGAGACGACTGATTTGTATGGTACTATGGTGTCCTTGTGAGTACTCGTCAGTTTTCTGCAAGCTGCGTGCGAGTGCTTTTTTTTTTCCTTCAAAGGGGGTATAGGTGGGCCCTATTTCATAGCAGCGGTGGTCATGTCCAGTCCGTGTGTTCGTCCAGATCCGCGCATTCGGACCAAGGATTGCACTTCCCCACCGGACACAAGGACAGAGAAAAAAATAAGGGGAAAAAAAACTGGACCCTTGCCCGATTTGTCTGTGTAGTTGTTGCACAGGGCGCACACTAATCTTCTCTGTATTGTTCCAATGTGATTTCTTGATATGCGCACATTATCCTTGTGCAGGGGCCATGCTAATCTGCCATGTATCATTCCAGTTTGATTTCTTGATTTGTGAATGTCATCCTTGCAGAGGGGCCACGTGACGCCTCTCTGTTACAGTACTGTACAGTGTACACATAAAAAAAAAAAAAAAAAAACAAGAGGGGAACAAATTCCGAAAAGGTCCTCTCTGAATCCTCACCAATTTAATGGATGTCCTGACACTGTCCTTTGGGACATCTGTTAAACTTGGAACGATACAGAGAAGGGTAATTAGCAAAATGGCTCCTGCGGAAGGATTATACGCATAAGTCGAGAAATAGTTGAATTAAATAATAATAATAATAATAATAATAATAATAATAATAATAATAATATTGGATATCCTGACAGGGTGGTGCAGATGGGCCCCGACAGTGTGGCATTGGCGCATCTGCAAAGGATAGAGCCGATGTGTGTGTGTGTGTGTGTGTGTGTGTGTTTTGAATTTTCACCACAACAGCACTTATACTCCCAGATGAGTAGATCGGAAATCGAAGCAGCTTTAGTTCTATTGCAGACAACGAAAACAATGAGATAAACCAACAATGAAACAGTTACCTTTATACCAAGCAACACAGAGATGAGGGAGATCCTACTGCGATTGCAGCAGGTCTGTGCCCAACATTGTGTGTGGGACATGCTAAGAGAGGGTGTGGTGGATGATGGCATCGGGGATAGTCCACGCATTAGAGACACATACTTTCTATGACAGCTTCCTGGAAACATCGACGACACATGGCATGTCGCTGACATGTCAGCAGGAAAGCAGGCTGACGTTCGTAACTATTTAGGCATGGCAGGCCACGACGCCATACTGGGCAAGTAATTAGGGTGTGGGCGGGATAAGTACAAGATAAAGGGTCGCAGTTTTCGCGGCAGAGACTGGCAGTGACCATCCCTTCATAGTGTTTGGAGCAGAGACTATGCTGTGTGCATGCTAACTGAGCTGTAGCTGCATGATGACAGGATGGGATGCACGGACACCGTCCTCTTGAGAGGCTCCTTTCCTTCATTGTCCGTGGTAATCTCGATCCGATCTACACAGGCTGGGGATGCTACCTGGCCATGCACAGGGGAAGGAGGTGGTTCAGCCGGATTGCTCTCCGGAGGCTGTAGAGCTTGTGAGTGCACAAAGACATAGTGTCCCTGATGGACATGAAAGCATTCACACTGCAGACATCCCGAGTCCTGGTTCCACAGTCTCAAATTTTCCCAGTCCCATTCGGGTCCAGTCCCAGATGGTCTCGGTCCCAGTATGTCCCGGTAGGGTAGGTCCCAGGGTCCATCGCTTGAAGCGTCGTAGGCCCGTAGGTGTCCGTACCGAAACGTCGTAGGTGGTTAGAAGTCAGTCTGGTACCCAACAAGAGAAGTCCAGTCCAGTCCAGTCCCAAGTCCTATTTTTGCAGCGTGTCCCAGGAAAGTCCAGAAGCAACCGGACCGACAAAATGATTGCAGCAGACAGACCGCGGCCGACCGGTACCGGTCTGAAGCAGGCCAAGCCATGTCCAGTTCTATATTTAGCTGCTACAGTCAAGCGGCTCATCCCTTGTTCAGTTGAGAGATGTGGAAGCGCTGCTGCTGTTTGCGCGTTGAGGCGACTTGGGCACATCGTGCCTGGAGGAGGAAGAGGGCGCCCAAGATGCTCCATAGCTAGGGTAGCAAAGTAGGAGTTCAGGCGGCCATAGTTGCCAAGCTGGAAGTATATCTGGGTGGGTGTATCCAGGGTTACGGTCTAGGCTTGAGATAGAGAGAGTAAGGGAGAGCTAGAGATACAAGCGAAGAGAGACAAGTGAACAAGATGAGAGA